CACTGAAAGAGTTGTTGCTAAAGTGGAAGTGTTGAGTGTATGAGAAAGCAGAACTTTCCATCATATTATTCGGAAGAAATTTGACTCTCTGATCTGTAGGTTTGTCATTTATTGAAGTGTTACATTTGAAAGATCATTAAGGAACTAAAGATAAAGAATTTTTTTTTAAATGAAGTTAACACATCCCCACCAGCCAACCTGGAGTTTAATACTGGAATTCAGACCAAATGGGAATGTGAAGGCAGAACACAGTCATATCACCTGGGTCAAAAATGTATTTAGTTTACTAAATATCCATTGGGTAACTAATAGGTGCCAAGCACTGAGTCAGCTGCTAGGGATACAAAGATCAATGTGGTATGATTATTGTTTCAAAGGGAAACTGATTAACAATTACAACATACTTGTTATAATAAAAATTATATCTGAAAGGCAAGAGTTGTTCTACTGAGACATGAGACCTGATTTGCAACCTGGGCATTATTCTATAAACAAATCAGACTAACCCTTGGAGCAGAAATACTCCCCTGGAAGAGGAGTCTTGAAGAAGCTTAATTCATTAGGGGAAATCTGCAAAAGTGGTTAAGAGAAGTGATAAGAATGAAGTTAGCTGGGAACAAATTCATGAAAGACTTTGAAGACCATGCAAAAGTGTTAAAATTATGACTGAAATGAACCTGCTTCCCTCTTTTGTAAAACCATCGCTACTATTTACCTAGATGATCAAGGGAAAGAAAAGTGAGGATCATTTTTGTTCTCACCCCAAATCGGCCATTTACTGATTGCCAAGTTCTGTCGATTCTACCTTTAACATGTTCTTAAGATTTTTCCCAGACTTCATTGTTAAAGTCTTAGTTTGAGACATTATTATCTTCTATAAGATAAAATAAAACTTTCCTAATAGTTCTCCATTCCTCTCCAACTTCTGGTCTTTGTGATCTGAGTTTACATGATGAAGGAAAGGAACCAGCAAAAGAAAGAGAAGCGGGATAGGAAAGAAGAAAAAGTGAAATAGCAAGATTCCCGTGCAAACAGGAAAACATGGAATATAGAACAGAGATGAGCAAGTATGTCTGTTAAAAAGAAGCACCCTGTTCTTGGTAATGGCTGGAAAACAGTAAGAATGAGTTCAGAGGTGCGGTCAGGTCACTATAACCTGACATACATGTTCCTAAAAGTCACTAGCTCTATTAGCCAGGATTCTCCAGAGAAACAGAGCCAATGGCATTTATCTATCTGTCTTTCTATCTCTCTTCTCTCTAGGTAGAGAGTGAGAGAAAGAGAGGGATTTTAAGGAATTGACTTACACAATTATGGACGCCATCAAGGCAGGTTGGCAGGCTGGAGAACCAGGGAAGGGTTGATGTCGCAGCTCAAGTTCAAAGACAGTCTGAAGGCCAAATTCTGTCTTCCTTAGGAACCTCAATCTGTTTTCTTTTAATGCCTTCAACTGATTGTTTGGAGCCCACCCATGTTATGAAGCATAATCTGCTTTACTAAGTCTGATTTAAATGTTTATCTCATCTAAAATATACCTTCATAACAAAATCCAGACTTATGTTTGACCAAATATTGTGGCCTAATCAAGCTGACGCATAAAATTGACCATTCCATCAGATGTTACAATAAATATGATAGTTTTACCTTGAAAAAAATGAAATTTACTTGTAGATGTTGGAAAAGTTGCAACTTGTGAGTTACTGTGAAGTGGTGGAAGGAGGTTTAGCTAACTTTGGCCAGAAAGTAGCAAAGTCAGATGTGGATGGGTGTGGCTGATAACACACATGGGCAGCTGAGCTGGTAGATGTTTGAGATGTGTTTGTGGGTATGTTTTGCTTATTTCAGTGTAGCTCAGTTCAACTCTCATGCAGTTTTCTGTGCTTACCTGGTGTTTCTCGTAGGTGAAATCATGCTTTAGCAAACATGAAATTTGTTATGCTTAAATTGTTTCCTAAGGTAGTAATTGTGTTGGAACAAATTCCCATTTTAAAAACAGAAATAACTGTATTTAAATTTATGATTATAGGTTGGGGGTGATGGATAGAATTAGCAGAATTCATGCTATCACTGATGTTCTTTGCAAAGAAGTTTAGCTCATTGGCTGAAAAAGAAGGTGATGGACAGGGAAATCCACAAATATATGGAGGGCTGCATCAGGCACAGTAGATACTGAGCAGGTAGTCAGTAAAGATTTATTGAATGAGTGTATAAATAAGTAAACAAAGGGATTTTTATGGTGAACGGAAATTGGAGTGATTTTTGCACTAGGCAGTAGAATTCTAAATTGGCATTGATTGCTTACCTGAGGTAAAAAGATCATTGCATTGATTCAAGGTAGGGAATCATGAATATCCTGGTCAGGGAAAGGATTGTTACACTGTTTATGTCCAGTTTAGCTAAGAAGGGAAGTAAACTTACAAAGGAAGAGTAACAGAGAGAGAGAGAGAATTAGAGGTATGAAGGCAATAGACATCCTCACGAAGACACAAGAAGCTTCAGTGGAGATAAAAAGGACGGGACATAATGGGTTTGAGTGAGTGGCCGAGGGTATCTAGGACTCATCACAGACTTACTGGACTTCACAGCTACAGCTTCGAGTGTAACCTTAGACCCTTTGTTGGGGACTGTAGCTGTTAATATAGTTCTAGTCTTGATCAGCACCGTCTGGAAAATTGGGTGGGAGTGAGCCTATGAGTGGAAATACTCCAGCTGAGAGGTGATGAGAAATTAGCATTTTCTATTTGCCATCAGAGTACCATGAAAATCATAAGCAATTAGATTTAGGTTAATATATAACAAAGCACTTGCTAATCATTTGAACTGTAAAACAGAGGAATGGGCTGCATTGTGAGGTATGCTGTGCACTTTTCATATAAGACCAGGGTGCACATTAGTGTTACTGTTGCTGCTGTGGTTATTCGCTCTTACTACCAATAAGATGTCAGAAGAATTCTTCAGTTACTGGGGCAATTGGATTGGATGTTCCATTGTATGTGAGTATTCTAAATTTATTAAACCACTGTCCTGCTAATGATAAAAAAAATTCCTGATTTTTATATTTTCTGGTCTTACTAAATAGTTGAATCACAAAAAGTTGAATAGTTTACCTATTTTTATTTTTCCTTACTTGTCCATATACATATAGGTACACCACAATTTGGCTGCTTGGTGGCAATTTCTTACACACATAAAATCAGAATAAACATCTGAGCATTTTCAGATTTCTGCAGGTAGACTGAAGAGCTGCATTTAATGTCTGAAAGAACATCCAGCATAATTAAACCTTTAGCAAGCTCTGCTTCACTCCTCCACAGCTTACTTAGCATCAGTAATTTCTACCTGACAGGATATTAGATGCCAGGACTTATTATAATATTACTTCTCTAAAAAGTGATGCTCAGGAAACACCTTAATTGCACTTCGCTGACAACTATACTTTTCAAACTTTAGCATCTACAGGAATCATCTGGGATACTTTAAAATGCAGAGTCCCTGGGCCCTAGCCCTGGAAATCCTTTTTTAAGTAAATTTGAGGTAAGCAGAATCTATGTTTTAATCAGCATTGTAGAGTTTCCAACACAGACAGTTTATGGGCCACAATCTGAGAAAACAGCAGCCTGGAATGATCAATCCTAACAGTTGATCAATCAGGTCTTGTCAGTTTAACTGATTAATTTTTCATTCCATCAACTCATTTGAACTCAAAGATAAGTTAAATCAAATGACACTCTGATTATAAGCATAAACATAACCTCATTGTATGGCCTTAGATCAATATTTTAACTTTCCAACAGCTCAGTTGCAGGATCTATAAAATAGTAACTGTATTTCCTCACTGTGTTGTTTAAAAGAAGAACTATTAAAATATTAAAAAACAAGTTTTAAATGTGAACACTTAATGGCAGAATACTCTCAGTATATTATGGAAATTAAATAATTAGTATGAGGGGAATTGATTTCAGTGTTATGTAAAAGTACATGTTTCTGCTCAACAAGGAGTAGCTTGAATTCTGATATGATTTGATCTACTATTTTTATACTGAATATGCATTACTGGAAATAGGTCACAGCAGGAAGACAGATTAAGGCAGTTTAAAGGAAAATAGAAACTGTAGAAACTATAAAAAATAAATTTGCAATTACAATAAGAGAGCAGAGCCATCTCCTTTTCTTTGTTTACTCAGCGGCCAATATAATCATTCTCGATTTCACACACACGTTAACCCTTGCATCTCCTAACGGCTTCTTCAACATTCTCAAAGGAAGTGGGCATATGCCTTCTGGTTTTAATATTAGAACAAAGTGTATTTAGCACTCTGTGAGCAAATATGAGACCAAATACACCATAAATAGTAAACTTAAGAAAGAGTAATCCCCTACTATTGTAATTTAGAGTTAAGTTTTTAAAAAGGAAAGAAAAGGAGGAGGAGAGAAGGCAAAACATGTAAATGTGAGAGGATATGAGTGAATAAATATGGGAAATATACAGTATTAAGACTTTTTGATGGACATAAAAACTTTATGGTTACCAAAGGGGAAAGTGAGAGGGGGTGATAAATTAGGAGTTTGAGATTAATATATGCACATTACTATAGATAAACAAAAAGGACCTACTGTTTGCACAAGGAACTATATTCAATATCTTACAATAACCTATAATGAAAAGTAATCTGAAAAATAATATATATGTACATCTAACTGAATCACAGTGCTGTATACTAAACCTAACAC